GGGGGGGGGGGGGGGGGGGGGGGGGGGGGGGGGGGGGGGGGGGGGGGGGGGGGGAGCGGTGGTTTTCAGTTCGTCATTTCAAGAATAGTAGGCATCCTTGTTCGGACTACTAATTGCCACGCGAATATTTCGTTGGCACGCTTGCAATACCCGAACCTCGCCCCATGTTGACGCGCTGCTCTGATGCTCTGCCGTCGTCACCGAGTGTTCGTAATGATGTCTCCCTCAGTGCGAACTCCTCCTATCCGAAGCAGCAATTGCCACACAGAGGTTCGTTGCCACGCTCACAGAGTACCCGAACCTCGCCTCATGTTGGAACGTTGCTCTGATTCTCCAAAGTCGTCGTCGCTGTGGTGTTGTCGTTGTTGTCTTCACACTGAAAACCGTTCCGATGTCTCTGCCGTGTGTGTTGTCCCCCTCGGTGGTGCCAGTGCCGTCACGGCGGTGATGGGGCGGGCTGACCTGGAGAAGGACAACCCCGCACAAGTGTTCCTGATGCACTGCATCCAGTTCTTCCTCGCCACCCTCGAAATGGTGTGTTTGTACGGCAGTCGTTGTGCCGATATATTCCATGGTAAAAAAAAAAAAAAAACGGTAAATTTCCGGACACCGCACGATTGAAGTGTTGGGGAATATGGTACAGTAGCCGAATCCCGTGGATACCGTGGGGGTATCGAGGCTTGCACTATTCGGGACCATGGTACGGTGTACGGTGTAACGGGACCGCCGCTGTATGTTGTTGTGGTCGCTTAAGATTTACGTCTTGGAAGGATGCCCTCGAGCAGCTGCAGCAGCAGCTGTCCCGCCGATGCACTTGTTTGACACGGTATCGTACCTTGCCATGAAAAAGTGGGGTTCTGTAGCCTCTGTGGCATTCTCTAATCGCTTTGTACGTAAACACGTTCTGGTGTCATTTCTCACAGAAGGAACATTCGACTGTATGAAGTAGTTGAGCAACGCCGTTTTGCCTACGTGTGGTTTCGTAATAGATGGGGCCATCCTTCCTTTGCTGGTTTTCCATAGTGCATCTACAACCCAGCCTCTGATTTATTTCCGGGGCAGGCAGTGGTGGCTCCCCCCACTGTCAGAAAATCCTGTGGGACACTTCAACGATCTCGCTCCATTCAAGCACTTGCTGAAGTTTGCACAGCTCTTTGTAGAGGCATCACAGGAAGCACCGCAATCAGAAGCGTAGGATTCCTGGTGGCCAGTCTGTTGGCATGAGGTTTTCTGGTGCACCCAGCTGCGGCCCTGGTCTCTGAAAATGCGCGCCGATGTGTTTCGTTCTCTGCTGCGCACCAGGATAACGAGGCTCTTCTGGAGGCCCTCCGGCCCGTCCTCCTCTTCCGCCCGCAAGCTACGCAAAACCACCGCCTTCGACCGCGGACGAATGGCCCGTATGACTTCTATGTCAACAACATGTGAGTGAGGCTTATCGATGCATTATGGCATGAGTAGCAGCTGCAGTAGCAGCGGCAGTAGCAGCGGCAGGGGCAGCTATAGTTGTGTCGGAAGGCTTGGAAGTCGCGCTGGGTGTAGCGAGTGCGACGGAGAAGCTTCTGTTTTTTTTCTCGCTACCAGCGTGGGTAAAAAAGAGAGAACAGACAACGGCAAGGATTAGGTGAGATTGAGTGGGACAACGAGATTGTATGCAAACCTCGATGCTCACGGCCCGGTTGCGCGGTGACACCCCCGATGAGCCTGATTTCATGGCAAGCGGCTGGTACACGGACGGTTCGAGGCTCGTGCCTTAATCATGATCATTTGTCTTGTCCTTTGCTTTCATAGTTGTCCCTCGTTGCACCATTTCTCACCCCCCCCTCCCCCCCCCTCTCTCTCTTCATCTCTGTCTTCCATCCTCTTATCTCTCTCTGTACACGCACACAACAGGCAGAGTGCGGGCGCCGGGGGGACGCTGTTCGAGATCCAGGGGGCCCCGTCTCTGTACCGGGAATACCACAGGCAGAGGCGGAGGCAGCTTGCGGCGGCGAGGGCTCTCGAGGAGAAGGAGGCACGCGGCGGTCAGCGGGGGGGGGGAGGCAGCGACTGTACCGGCGGGGCTCCCTCCGCCGCCGGCGGCCCGGCCAAAGAGGGCGGCTCCCCGCCGCCGCAACGCATTAACGACGGCGACGCGATGATGGACGAAGATTCCGAGGATGATCTGATCGGGCCTCGAGCGGCCCCAGCAGTAGCAGCGAGCACGCCAGCGACGGGGGAAAAGGTTGTCGGGGATAGCCGCAGCCCTTCCTCTGGCTCGGGGGGCGAGGCGGTGGCGGCGGCGGCGGCGGCGGCGGCAATACCTGCTGGTGCTTGCGAGCAAGGCAAGAAGCCGGAAGGGGGCGTCGAGCGGAAGGCGGTGTCAGACGAACGCGATGACACGGCAGTTCGGAGACGGCGGAATGGCGAGGGTGCGCACGTCGATAATGCCGCGGCCGGGGCAGAGCATGCTGGCCGTCGTGCTGCTGTCGCTCCCGCCGCTGCGGTTGGCCCCGGGGATACGAGCGGCGGCGGGGAGCGTCTCGCCCCTTCGGTGGGGATGCCGACGGTTGCTAGGCGGGCCCCGCCTCTTGTGGTAGGCACGAGAACGGACGATTGCACGCCGGCGGCTGCGGTACGCCGGCAGGATGCAGTGACCGATCACAGGCGCGAGGTAGTGACGGGCGGGAGGAGCGGGGAGCCCGAAGCTGTGAAAACGGCGCAACCCGCGACTGCAGCGGGCCCCGCAAACCAGGCACCGGGGGGGAACGATACAGAGGTCACGCTGCGAGAAGACGATGAGGGGGGCCAAAGTAGTCCTGCCGCCGCCGCAGCAGCAACTGCCCAGGAGCCCCAGGCCTGTATGCCGGTGGGCGTTTCGCCTGTCAGACGTAGGGCCGCGCGCAGGTCGGTCGGGGGCAGCAGGGCCGGGGCGTTCGTCCCAGGGGGCAGCCGCGGCGGCGCGGCGGCGCTCTCGGCCGGGTTGCACTGCGACGACGATAGCGGGGACCCTGACGACGAAGACGATGACGAAGACGACGACGGGCTTGACGATGAGTTCGAGGATGACTCGGAGGACGAGGGTTTCCAGGAGCGGCTCACGAAGGCCCTGCGGGAGTCGGAGCAAGCGGAGGTGATGAGAACGGTGGCGGCGGCGGCGGCGGTGGCCGCTGGGCCACCGGAGGCTGCGACAGAGGGCGGCGGCGGTGATGACGGACTGAAGACTGCTGCTGCTGCAGAGGGGATTACAGGGCAGCAGAGTCGAGAAGTCGCTGGACGCACGTCTCCGGCCAAGGAGGAAGAGGGCGGCGGCGGCGGCGGCGGCGGCGGCGGCGGCGGCGGTGGTGACAACCCTGTAGTTTCGGCGGACGACGAGGAGGAGGAGGAGGAGGAAGACGACGACGATGACGACGGCAACCTCAGCGAGCGGAGCTGGGAGAGCAAGATGATGCAGCCGCTGCTCGACCTCCAGAAGGTGAAGCAGCTGTTCGAGGACTGCTACGGCGAGACCTGCCCCCACTACCTGTCCAGCCTGAACTGGTTCCTCTGCATCGGCGGCGTGGAGAAGTTCGAGGCTCGCCTTACGGCGAAACCTCCGCCCAAGGCTACCTTCGTGCGCGGCCTCGTGGAGATCCTGTGCATGGTTGCCGAGGTGGTGTCGGACGCAACGGCGCTCAAGATCCTCAATGAAACCCTGACCAATGTGCGGGCGTACGTTGCGGGCGTGTCGAGCGACGACCTAAAGCGTTCTCCGGAGAACAGGGCGGCGCTGTTCAGCGCCATGGACTTCATCAGGTGTGTGTGTGTGCAGCGGGAAACGTTCGGCGTTGAAATGTGGTTGCCAAGTAGAGGGAGAGGCAGAGAGAATTTTGTATGTCGTTCGCTCGAAATGTGGGTCCGAGTGGTTGAAGACTGCCGGGCTTGTTCACTGTGGTCTCCGAACCGTTCTCGGGTCGTTTCTTCGTTCACGCTCTCGAAGCCAAGAGGTCGTCGTTTCCTCTTGCTGCAGAGGGGTTTCGCTTGCCCTCCTCGCACAGAGGAGATTCACTTTCTTTCTTTCTTTCTTTCTTTCTGTATCTGCTGGTCACCCGCGCGCACACGCGTGTGTTTTTCTTTGGTTCGCATCGAACGGCGGAAGCCGGCTGACCAATGACAAGCCGTCAGTCTAATCGCGGGTCAAAATACGCAGTACGCTTACAGTCCGCGGCCCCCCTCAACAGGGGGATTGGCAAGGAGACCGGGCGACCATGCTCCAGTGTCAAAATGTGTTGTGAACGTGTGTTTTTGTTCATTGGCATCGACCACGCCAGCGGGCTGACCAATGAAAAGACGTCTGCCCCGGCATGTACAATATGTGCGCTTGTTTGGTTCTTTTATGATGTGCCGCCATTTGCTTACCAGCGTAAGCGTGTTCGCGCGCGCGCGTTTTTTGTAATTTCGGCGTACCCTCTGTCCGGGGGGGGGGGGGGG